CAGTGCCAGGCGAGGGACGACGCTCCCGACCCGGGGCTGGAACGCGCGCCGACCGGGAGGCGGTGGCCCTCCCCTCGCTGTCCCCGAGCGAACTCAGTCACACCGCCCCCTCCCCCTTCCTGCTTCCGAGCGGTGCCGCCGCCGCCACGCTGTGCGGGCGCGCCGCGAGCCCGGACCCAAATTGCTGGGTGACACTTAACTTTCTGAATTCCGTGCAGTTGGCTGTGGGTGATATCACCGCCTCGGTGTCGAATTTCTCCGCCCCTCTCTGCTAGCGCCCCTCCCCGACTTTTCTCGCCACTTTGTTTTGCTGAGTTTCTCCACCTCTTTTTTTTTTTTTTCTTTTGCTAGGTCTAAAAAGCGAGGTGGGGACGTTATACAATCTCGTTGTTTGTATCATGAGATGTCAGGATTTTGTAACAGTGAATACTAGAAGATACTCTTTGGCGTATTTATTTATTTGATTCTACCCCGCCAGTACGTCGTGATGTTTTGTAATGCTATCATTCCAGGATATGTTTTTTATTTTTAAAATATTTTTCATTCATACATATGCAGTATACTTATTTGTAAAACTTTAGAACCCAGAATATTTTAAACTAAGCATCTAAGTACGTAATTTTTAGTTTTTGGTTGAATGGGGTTTCTATCTCATTTGTTTAAACAAATTCTCATAAATGGAAAAGAAAAACAAAGTGGCAATACCATACAAATGCATAAAGATACATAGTTATTGCTGCACTAGAGGCCCGATGCACGAAATTGTGCAAGGGGCTTGGCCCTGACAGCCCCAGCATCAGCCCAGAAGGATGTTGGTCTAATTGCCATATTTGCTTTTATTATTATAGATTGGGAGAACTCCATTTTTTTTGTTTTCATAAAGCATAATTGACTCCTTTTGCAGTGCTCCAGAGGTCTTGGGATGAGATTAAAATAATATTTCTGAAATCTCTAAAAGGTATCCATTGTAATGTAACTATTAAGACATATTTCTTTTTTTTTAAGACGTATTTCTTTACCAGCTTCAAAGGGTGTTTATTGTTTTAATTTCACAATATTGTGAACTTTATCTCTTTATCTCTCTGATAAGCAAGGCCTGTGTTGGGCCTCAATGGGGCCCAAAGACATTGAGTCCATCCATTGGAAGCCTTCTTACAACTTCAGTTATTGATTTCTTGTGCCTTCCTGTTATGAAAGATAAACGGGGGGGGGGGGGCTCTTCTCTTATTGTCAGGGCTTACTCTCATTCTTCAAAGTTTACTTTTACTTGTGCTTGTAAAATTTTAATGCAAACCCTTGATCATGGGCAGTGCTTAAACAACTTTCTCCTTTGAAGCTGTCTAGAAATCTAAGTTCATGGTCCCCAGGCTCCTTGTGAACAAGCTACTTTAGAAATACCAATGTTGTTTATGAGCCTGTGCAATTCATAGAAACAGAGAATGTTCTTTATCTAAACAAGGAAGGTTCTGTTTAATAGGGTGACCATACACATTATTCTCCAAAATCAGGAAATGCTTGAGAATGAGAGGGGTTTAATACTTATGCTGGTAAAACAAAAACAAACCCACAGCTACAGAGAACAGATCGGTGGTTACTGGAGGGTGAGAAAGTGTGTGTGTGTGTGTGTGTGTGTGTGTGTGTGCGCGCGCGCGCACACACAGGGGCTGGTGGGGGGGGTCAATTGTATGGTGATAGATAGTAATTAGGCTTTGGGGGGTGATCACTTTGTAGTGAATACAGAGGAATGATAATGTTTATCCCTGAAACTTATATGTATATACTTAGGCTGGGACCACGTGAACATTTGGGGCAATCCAGGGCACATGATCACTCAGTTGTGCCTAACACTAAACAGAGTAACACAGAATCTTTAAAAGTCCTTAGAGGCATCTAAGGCTCAAACTCATACAGAGTACACGGGTGTACACATAGGACGTTGCACCAGGGGGCTTCTCTCCAGCCATGCTTGGCCTTATTAGTGGCATCTGTGATAGTCTTTACTTAATGTCTAGCACCTGCAGGGAGGACTAATATAAAGCTAGTCTGAATATCTTAGTATTCAAGTACCAACTAACCTACCCCTCCATAAACAAAGCCTCTGTTCTCAGTAGTTTCATTGTCTTAGCTATCATTATTATCATTATTATTGCTATAATTGTTTAGTTCTTATTCTGTGCAGGTTCTGTGCTGAATGTTTCACACACACATATATTCAGTCTCACGAGGTGGGTACTAATATTATCTGAATTTTACAGAAGAGGAAACTGAGGCATAGAGAAGTGAAGAATTAGTCCAAGCCACCCAGGGGGGTTCGAGACAGGCTTGGACCTCCAGAACCCCTCTTCACTGTACCCGACTATCTTGCTACATTTTTCGTATTTTTTACTTCTAATGAGTCATCAAATGTACGAAATACTTGGGAACTGAGCCTGGAAGCAACAGTTAAATATTATGTCAGTATCACTCTGTCAGTGGTAACTCTTTAGGCTGCTTCTGATGGGGTTTAGTGACATTCAGGGGAAAAGAACTATTTGGGGAAGGAGAATTTAACTTAACTCTGCAACAGACACCCTTTTTCTTCCTCTGAAGAAATTTATTCTGGGGAACAAATTGGTCTGTTCAGGACTTGAAATGTCTTTTGTCACATCATATACATTTTGGTTCTCTGTCACGGCAGAACCGTGGCTCTGATGTTCTGAGCTCCCAGGGGGTGAATTCCCGAGGGGAACTGGGTGGTGGAGTATCTCTGTGGGTCTGTATATCTGCCCTGCTGTGCTCCTCTGGGAAGGCCAGAGACCTCCCCCTGAGCTCCTGCTGTGGATTTGTAAAAACTCATTGAGACTCACTGGTTCAGTGAGAAGTGAGGTTGAACTTTGGAAACAGATATATTTATTATTATATCTATGTCTTTGTCTACCCACAGAAAAAAAGATGAATACAATGTGGTTCCTGATATAATCTCAAATAAATATATCTAAACAGATGAATTACGGTGGTTGAGAGGAAGTAAATACTACTTCCAGCTCCGGAGGGGAAAGAGCTCCCAGAGAGGTGGTTGTGTGGTTGAGTCCAGATGAGCAGGGACTTTGTGAGTAAAGACATAGAGTGGTGGGATTATGCAGGCACCTCCAGAGACAAATCAGTTGGTTCTGCTGTAACAGAGGGCCCAGGCCAAAAGCAGAGCGTAAGACAGGAAAGGCGGCTGTGTCACAGGCCACGGGCGCGGACTGAGCTGGAAGCCATGGGAAGCCATGGGGGCTCTTTGGAGCTGGGAGTGCCAGGCCCAGAGCTCTGCTCTGAGAAGATGAGAAGGCACTGGTGACAGGCGGGCCATCATCTACAGGGCTGTTTGCAGTAGTCCCGATGCGCACTTCTGAGGGCAGAAAAGAATGGGAAGGCCTGGAAACATATAGAAGTCAAAAAGGGTAAAAACAGAATCCCCAGAACTAAGGAGCCAGAAGGAAAACAAGCATCTCAGTGTTGCACTGCCTTAAGCCCCTCAAAACATCAAGAATATGTTAACTGTCCCCCTAACATCTCATGCCTGTCTCTCATGCTCATGCTCTAGGCTTAGGAAAAATGTGGGCTCCATGTACCAGCCCCCTCTCCCTGTGGCCATGCTTTAATATTATGACCCTCACGACTGACAATTGAGCTCTGGTAAAGAATTACTCTCAAAAATCACATTATGTTTCAACAACCAGGGCAAATGCATCATCATGAGGGCAATGTTCTTTGCACTGAATAGAATAAGCTTGCCTTTTATTATTATTTTTTTGTGTCAGCAGTTCTAGTCTACAAAACCAAGAATGCATGGAAGAATCTCTTATTCTTAGGGAAATACACACACACACACACACACACACACACACACACACACCACTCTCAGATCTGTGAGTGAGCCTGAGGCAGGAAGCAGCCCAGTATCTGATGTGGAGGGAGTGTGCCTGGCCCACATGATGCACCATCACTGCACAGAACACAGACAGGCCTGGCTTTCATCAGGATAAGGAGAAAGCTCAGAGATAACTCACAGGGGAAGAAATCTCACTTTCTATCCATTCAGTAGAGAGTGATCACTAGAACAAACTAAAAAAGTAGACTGTGAGACTGTTCGCATTTCTCCCCTTTCTGTAACTTCTACAAATATTTTAAATCGCGCTGCGAACGACAGGCCGCACAGGCGCTGGGACGGCATTATCACCACCGAGCAGTCATCCCAGTGACTCTCCCTTGTTGTCTGGCCTGCTCTTCGGCCTCCGTTTAGTGGGAACCGGCCTGGAAGGCTGTTGGTTGGCTTGGTGCGTTTCAGAAATTGGCCTCACTCAGAGCAAGGAGGACTAGTGTTTCTCTTTGAGTGAGGTAACACTTGGGAGGGGTAGGAATTTGCCACCGGGATATGCTGTTGCAAATCCTGGTGGCTCTACAAGGACTATCTTCCCTACAAACGCCCTTCCCCTGCTGGACCTGGGACCTGGGACCTGGGCATACCTACCTGTTTAGAGGTACCTGCTTCCACCATCTGCAGGGAAGCAGGGGGGTTCTGCTAGTTTCCCTTATCCAGAGAGAAAGGGAATGGGAAGACTTGGGAAAGCGGCACTCAGCATTCAGGAGCACATTCAGAGCAGTTAATGTGCTTCTGGGCAAGCCACACAGCTTTGGCTTCCTCGTCTACAATGGGCACTTGGGAAATTGTCGTGAGGTTCAGTTTAGGCAGCAGGAAAGCACATAACCCCATGCCAAATGCAAAGTAAGGAACACAGACTTTTTCCTTCTTTGTGTATCAGTTTCCTCTCCATTAAACTGATTATGACCAACAAGACAACTATGACCTGCTTTATTGTCCCGATGGCATCCGAACAAGACTCTTTCCAGAGGCTCCTCTAGCACTGACGTTGAAAGGAGAGGTGAGGCGCAGCCACCCACTAGTCACTTCCTTTCTTTGGAAAGTGTCTTTGCTGCTGTTGCTGTTCTATAGATTAAGTTCTACAGCGAGGACAACAATTTCTGGCTATTAAACATCCAGGGAGGAAGTCTTGAATGTTGACAACCCTTAATATCTAGCTCCTATTCATTGATCCCGTTCATTGATCACATCTCCTCCTTTTGGATGAAAACAGCAAGCAGGCCAGCAAGGGGTCCTGCAATGGACTGACAGAGGGAGTTGCAGGACTTGATCACAAGAAGCAACCTAACCCTTTAGAATGGTAGGGAAGTGTCAGGTGTCCAGGCACCTCCTGATGTCACCGGAGAAACGACCATCATTCAGCAGCTCCTCTCTCCCTAGAGACTAGGAAGGTGACGGGACCCCCTCTTCACTGATCTGTCGAAAGAGGCATTGAAACAAGTAGCCCTCGTGAAGCGAGGCTGATCTTTTTGCTTTCATCCCCTTTGGGATCAGTACGGACCCTCAAGTGCTTTTAGTGTGTTACATGACACTTTCCATTTTCTCCACTATCTACATCCCACTGCTGACAGTGCATCTGCAGTGTTTTACTCAGAAATAGGACAGGACTATTGTGACTGAGGGAAGGTGGAAATTAATTTTCATTGGGGTGTTTTTTTTTCCCCCTCAGTGTTCATGGTTATCATAATATTTCTCTTGATCTAAAGTAGAATAACAAATGTTATCAAAGATTAACTTTTGAAAGTCTGAAATATGTGGACTGTGTCTATGGGGAAAGCATTCTAACAAATTAGTAAATACTTCAATACAAGGCTAAAATGAGTGTTCTGATATTCATACCTACATCAAAAATAAACTGCTGAATTCGTGGAATGTGAATAGCTAAATTGAATTTGATCTCAACATTATTTCATAAAAGAAAGTGTTTAGCTGTACACTGTTTTTTAATGAAAAATTTTAAAGTAGATTTAATTTATTTTGATGAGAGAAATGTCATCAGTAGATATTTAGAAGATAATTTTCCAAATTGTTTTACATGGCTCAGATGTCATTGAATTATGTCACATACAGTTGGGTTTTGAACTAGAAGAAAGCAATTATGGCTTATTTCCCTCCTGACCATTAACACACTGGCCCTTGGTAGGAAAAAAAAAACCACCAAACCTGTGTTGAGTAGAAAGGAACTACATCAATTGTGATTTATTTAAGTAGCCACATTTTATTGCAATATATTTTCAGTAGCTCATTCTATACAGAGTCAGATGTAGAAATAAGATAGTATATTTGTCCATTAGTACTTTATGCTTACATAAGAATACAATAAAATAAAGAGCGTTTTGTTTTTTATAAGAGTGTTTACTTACCATCTCTTCCAAGGGATGATGTTCTTTTATCGCTTTAGAAGAAATCATTTTAGGAGACTAAAGTGTTCCTTGTGGTGATATGGTTTGTGCTTTCTTTTATGTCTGTGAGCCATCTGGAAGCCACATTTGAGTGTTTAATGTCCATGCACTGCCCACAGTTTTGAACGCTTTTGAATCTCTTCATCCATGACCCAGGTCATTCACTCACAAAAAAACCACTAGGTTAACTGCTGCCTTCGTTTTCACTCACCTCTGCAAAATCCGCTCACCAGAATGATTGGGGAGACACCAGTAAGGGGCTTCCCGGGTTCTGTGAAATAGGTAAATAATCATAAAATCCTAAACATTGACTACAAACATAAATGTTAGAATATGCCAGTCTGTGACCCAGGCAGAACCAGCATTTTAAAGATCACTGTATCAGAACTGCTGGGGATGTTCAAAATCACTGCTTAAATGGTCATGTGGCTACTTCTAACTGCGTTTAAACATAAGCCCTCTGAACACAGTTATAGAGGAGATATGACAAGGTCATTACTAAACATTCAAAGCTGGAAGATTTTGTAAAGTGAAGCAGTAAATTCAAAGTTAAGCTTAAGTTCAAGCTTAGAAGGACTCAGTTCCCATGTTAGCACGGTGAGGTATATAAATATCTGGGCAGTTTTAGAGGCATAGCCACGGCCCTTGTTTGAATGTAATGAACCACAATGGGTTTTCAGAAGTCCCCTGGCTAGCAGTCCTCCACTTCATACTACCCTATATAATAAAAGGTTAATATGCAAATTGTCCCCTCCACTGGGAGTTTGACTGGGAGTTCAACCTGGAGTTTGACCAGGGGTGGGGCTGGCCAGCCAACTACCTACAGCCCCTCCCCTCGGCCAGCCAGGCCCCATCGGCCTGGGCTGGCTGGACTCCACCTGTGCACGTATTCGTGCACCAGGCCTCTAGTATAACATATAAAACCATATTGCATACTAGTTCTAGAATTAGAAGTCTCATTGCAAGGACAATGTACCTGGCAATAGACTATAAAATGGTGTTACCTCAACTACATTTTGGTTAAGCATCAGTTTGGGGGCCTTAATTCCTAATTTGAGAAGTACCAGGTGGGGAAGTACTTGGCAAAGGGAACAGGCACTGCAGATGCTATGACTGATAAGAACTCTCAGTCCCCGCTAAAAGAGAGGCTTATTTTCAGTTCACATCTGAATGTGTCCAAGTCCCTCCATTGTAGACCCGCCGTTCAGAAAGTGTGCAGAACGGTCAGGTTGATACTGCTGGTGCAGGCGAGGTGAGGAGCCTTTGCGCTCTCTCCCCTGGAGCAGGGAAGGGACCGTTGGGCTGCTCATGGGACTTGCTGGCCGCTCCTGTGCTCCGATGCATTCGTGGGGCACACGCAGACGGTAAGGTTGGCCTTGTGATTCCCTTCCTCCAGGGCACCTGGATGACGATGGACTGCCGCACGGGTTCTGCACAGTCACCTACTCCTCCACAGACAGATTTGAGGGGAACTTCGTTCACGGAGAAAAGAATGGACGTGGGAAATTCTTCTTCTTTGACGGCAGGTAGCACTATGGTTTTGTTTTATTTCGCTTGGGGGAGGGTCCAAATTACTTTTTTTGAAAGAGTGATATAAATGAAAGAACTTAAGTCGATGTTTGGGTAACAACTTAGAGTGATAAAAGTGAGCCCAACATGCATGCATGCACTGCTTTGGGGACCAGGGAAGTCACCCCATGGTTATGGAGAAGCCAGTGTAAGGCTTAGATGTCATCACTGCCTCCTAGTGGTGCTTGTCCAAGGGATACTCTGCAGTGCCGGGTTCGAGGGCTCCCATCTTGCACAAGTTGGTTAGGTGGCCACCCATTTCTTTGATAGATTTCACCTGCTCATTCGGGTAATGAGTCTCAAGGAAGTGACACAGTGGGCTCGTCTGTGTCGGGGGCAGGTTGGTGCAGTTCCAGCAGTGACTGACACGCTTTTTTCCAAGTGTACCACACACTCCATGCCTTAGCCCGCTCTCTCAGGCCTCAGGTTCCGGTTTCTTGCTATCCTGAAGGGAGATTCAGCCACCTCGTTGGTTCTGCAGCTGCACCCATTTCTCAGCATGTCCCCACTCCTCCTGGGATCGCTCAGGAAAATGGAGAGGAAGGCATAGGAGGTGTACAGCTCCGGCCTCATGGTGCTGTAAAAGCTTGTCTTGGGATAGCTGGTCTTTTTGTGAAATGCCTGGATGCTGACGTCAGCACCCGTATTTTCTGTGTTCTCTAGTTAGCAGCGATCCTTTCACTGTGCTCTCACCTCCTGCATGAGGACCCTGTGGGGCAGGAGCTGCTCACCCTCTGGTGAGGGCTGCAGTGACTGTAGGCCTTTCCTCTTTCAAGTGGAGATGGGGTTGCCGGGGCTCAGCCTTCCAGCGATGACTTTTAAACCATGTCAGCTTTAGAAACAAAGAGTGGCCACGTGGCTTTCCCAAGCATTCAGAGGAACGAGAGGCACAGAAGGGATGGGAATTGCAGAAATGGGTTTAGCCTACGCAGTCCTGGGGTGCCACAGGACGTGGCCCCACTCCCTCAGCTCCTGGCACTGCTGACAACCTGAAGCTCCTCACCCTGGCGGTTCCTCTGGGAAGGGAAATGTCCCGGCTGACCATTGACGGTGAGCACAGGGACTGCCATGTGACCCAGAATCCCTTTTCTGTAGATGGAGTAGGTGGCTTTTGAAGATATTAACAGTTCCTTGGGCTGTCAATTATCTGAATTAAGGAGGGGTGAGAAAAGCAATAAAAACCCATGATAGCGCTCTTGTAACATGTTATTTTAATTAGTCATTCCAACCTTCTCTTTCCCATTACCCCAGACCCCATACCCCACATCTTTTTTTTTTTTTTTTTTTAGCAGAGCTTTGCTTACAGACTGTGCCATTTTGAATGGTTGGATAGTTTGCTTGCTTGCTTTTGCTCTTCTTTGAGTACCTGGTGGCTACCTGAGTCCCGTGGAGGACTCTTTTAAGATTTGGTATCAGTGCTTTCTTCTCCCAGGACCCCTTCCCCTGCCAGAGGAACACATTTCCTGTTCCTCCTTTTCCTATTTCCATAGCAGTGTACTCACTGCTCTCCTCTGGAAAATGTCCTCTTTACCTCGTGCTGCAATTATTGTTTGATCCACTTAGCAAATGTAATTTATAGAAATGTCTTGTTTCCCCCACAGGACAGCAGTTTCCTTAAGGGCAGAATCTTGTCTGTTTCCTCTTCTGGGCTCCAAAGCACTTTCCCTTAATTTAATCTTTAAAAAAATTCTTGCTGAATGAGCGTGGGAGCTGACTGAAAGTAGAAGTCACCCAGAACACATACACACACAAACACTCACACTCACACACTCACTCGTGCTTTAAATCTGGTAGTTTGATAAGCAGAGTTGATTGACTCTAGGAAAACAGTCCATCAGGTTTGGTTGGTTGTTAGAGTTAGTTTGGTTGGAATTTGGGGTTGGTTACTGGATTGTTTCACAGACCTGATGCACAGAGTATTGATGGCCTAGACTGAGCTTCCAAACCAGTGTGCCCAGAATGAGCTGCATGTTAGTTAGTTCCAAAGTACTAGTCCCTCCGCCCTGGGGCCCTGAGTGGGCCCGAGACTCCCCAGCACCTCCCTTCCTTTGTTATGCTAATCACTTCCAGCTCTAAGCAGCTTCGCCCAGTCACCCCAGGTGTCACACAAATGCAGTAATTGACATGTATGTTGTGACATGACATGAAGCAACAGGCCAGCAACTATGGGTGGTACAGCAATAAATTCATTGACTTTTTTTTTTTGAGGCACCAACTCACTAGTTTTCATACCAACCACTCAAACCCCGGTAGACACTTCGCTCAGATAGCAGACTCAAGGGATGATGGTGTTAGTGAGGACCTTGAGAGCTTACCTTTGTTAGCTTTCCTCAGACAGATGGGGACTGATGCCTTGAGGGGAGGAGGTCAGTATCACTGCTTGTATGACATGTGATGAAACTGTGGTGACAGGTTCTCGTTACCTTTTTCTTAAACCCAATACTGATCCTGTTGTGAGACACCTGCAAAAGGGATTCGCTGTAAAAGGTGGTGAGAGCCTTATGCCTGAGTCTTTCTAAGCAGAGTGCAGGATTGGGTCATGGGGAAGTCGGCTGTTTCTGCATGAAGCAGCACCTTACTTTACATTGCTCTATTACTTTTTCTCCCTATTGCCACTCCTAACTTTTAGGGTCTGACGAGTTAGGTAAAATAAGGTGGGAATCCTACACCTTTCTGCCAGTCAGGAGGCTGTGGCTGGGAAAATTCCCTCATAAAGGATGAAATCAAAGTTTTGAAATAACAGGTGAGGAAACAAATTAGAGTTTTTAGAAATTGTTCTAACTTGTAGTGCTGGCTAATGTTCCCGTCAAAGGGTGTTTTTGGGTTGGTTTTTTTTAAATCACAAAGTGTAGAGACAGATTTAGATGGAGATCTCCTGATGGTATATAAAACCTGAACTCAGGTGTGTGGTTTTTTTAAAAACCAATTTATTGAGGTATGATTCACATGCAGAAAACTGTATGTATTTAATGTCTACAACTTGGTGAGTTTGGAGTTAAACATATGTCTATGAAACCATCACCATAATCTGTGCCATTAACTGGGTGTGTGATTTATGAGAAGGTTTCAGACATATGTGAATTTCTATCAAGAACATTCCAGAATCAGTTTTTCCCATAACACAGGTTATGATAAACCTAAATAAGGACTTTAAATATTCAGATCATCAGGAAAATGGCCCTGTTAAATTTTTTCACCAAGTTCCTAGATTAAAGCAGATTTTAATTTTTTCAATTGCATATGTGACAGATGTTTGGTAGAATAAAAAAACTTCAAGAAATACAGAAATATAAAAAGTAAATATGCTCTTTTTTTTTTACCCTCAGCCCCATGTCACAAAAGTCACCACTGTTGGCAGAAATTTTAAACATCTTAATTATTTTGTATTCAAGCATCTTTACCTTGTATTCAAGGTCAAATAAGGAAACAGCTATTTTTAAATCTCTAGATTGAGTTTAGGCAAAATGTATATTGCTTACCTTTTTACTACTGTCTCAGCTTTAGACTATTTGCTAGTTTTGAGATTTTTTTTTAAAGGATGAAGTCTTTTTTAACATATTTTTATTGATTTCAGAGATGAAGGGGGGGAGAGAGAGAGAAACATCCATGATGAGAGAGAATCATTGAGTGGCTGCCTCCTGCATGTCCCCCACTTGGGATGGTACCCAAAACTCAGGCATGTGGCCTGACTGGGAATCGAACCATGACCTCCTGGTTCATAGGTCGATGTTCAACCCCTGAGCCATGAGGGCCAAGGTAGTTTTGAGATTTTAATCAACAGTTAGTCTTTTCTTCTTTATGTGACAAAATGAGACCAGAAGAGCTATTATTACAACAGGTTTATGAAGTCAGAAACCTGAAGTCAGACCACACTTGTCCTTTGCCAGATACTTTATCCCGCAAATGAGGAATGAATTTGAAAATTGTCTTTTCAAGCAGCTATTATTTCCCCTTTTCCCCTCTTTTTAAAGGAAATAGGAAAATTGTGCTAAGACTACTTCCTGGGGAGCTCTTAACATCTGCTCGGGTCGTAGATTAAGCTGTCTCTGCAGTGAGGAGGAAGGGGCTTGGGCTTTGTCAGGGGCTCTGGAGGGATTTGCTGGACCACAATGGGATGTTATGAAATTGTTTACTAAGCAAATACACAAGTCTGTAATTTTCATACTAATCCTCAGTTCTGGATGCTTATTACAATGGATTTATTTTTCTCATCATTGTTCTCATTTTAGCCAAGATTATGGACACAAAGGCAATTTACAGGACTTCTCAAAACCCTAGGATGGAACAAGGAAGGGGTATTCCCACACAGCTAGGCTTTGGCTTGTGTAATATTAGGGAGCTGTGTGTTTTTTAGCCTGATTGTGAACCGGAGATGAGTTAATTCATTCCATCTTATTATTGTTATGTTATTGTTGCTTCTCCTTCCCTGCCAATTAGATTTCCAAGTATTATTTCTTGTTCCTGACATCACTGTCCTGTGCCCATCCTGTTCTGAAGTTGATTTGCTGCATTAATGTGTCTGGCTAAGAGGGCTCCTTGTAGTTTATCATTAGCCAGCTAACCTGAGTGAGGCTGCCCACTCCATGAGCCACTGAGAAAGGCTGATGGGTTCCAGGGACAGGTCCATGCTCTTGAGAACGTGCTTGGTCACATTTCAGAGAAACTGGAGTGGGAGTGGACTTCTGAAGTCATGTACTCCAGCCTCCCACACAAGGCAGAAAAAGTCCTTCTCCATCCCTGACAGTCATCCAGCTTTTGTTGGCACCAGACTCAACAAATACATTCATCTGTATTCTAATAAACAGTCTGATGAAGGCAAACATTTTTGTGATACACGAGAAGAAAAGGAGTGGAAGAGATGCATAACTTCGAATATCTGTCACTCACTCACTTGCCTTCCTAACAATCTGTGAAATTGGTTTTATAATCCAATTTCACATATGAAGAGCCTAAGGCATGTAGTGGTTAGCTAACTTGCCCAAGGTCCCCATTAGTAAGGGTTGGAGCTGAGAGTCAATCCAAGGTGAGCTCTGGTGCAGAGCCACCCACTTCTCATTACATCAGTACCAACCTCTAACTAGAGCAGGGACATTCCTCTGATCCTGATGGCCTCTCTTCCATGCTTCAACTTTAGTGGAGGTCGCTCATCAGTTATAATTTTTCAGAGGATCCTGGGATGAAGTCAGTGACATTCCTGAGGGGCAGGAACAACATGGTAGGAGCCTGGCAGTTTGATGGGAGGTTTCCCTGAGAACAGCTCAGAGGAGCCCTGTTCTAGAGAGCTGGCCTCTTCCTGGTTGATGAAATGGGGATAGTGACACCTACTGCTCTGAGCTGTTGTGAAGACTGGAGAGAAAACCTGCCAGGACCTTGTAGACAGAAGGACACCTGGTAGGCGCTCACCGGAAAGCATGGATTTCTTTCTTCTGTTACTGTGTATCTACATGTTCCCAGCTTTGTGGTGATATAATGGACACAGCACATGTAAGTTTAAGGTGTACAGTGTGATGATTTGATACACCCATATATTGAGAAACTAAAGGCCCGGTGCACAAAATTTGTGCACAGGAGGGTGAGGTCCTTCAGCCTGGCCTGCACCCTCTCGCAATCCAAGACCCCTTGGGGGATGTCTGACTGCTAGTTTACAGGTCTAAACCGGCAGTCAGACATCCCTCTTGCAATCCAGGATGCTGCATGCACCAGTGACCGTACTTTTCATACAGGTGAAAGGCATCTTGCTGTTGTATGGGCAGCTACAATTTTTTTGCCTTGATTATATAAAGTAGTACATAACATGATCCTTCTGAGGCAGTAGTACCATTTTCCCCATCTTACGGGTGGAAAAACTGAAGCAGAGAGAAGTTAAGTAATTGGCTTTGTCACACAGTTATGTCAGAATCAGGGCTGACCACAAAATGTAAGCCAGAGTCCATGCATGTCATCACTGCATCATCCTGTTTTTTCACTGTTGAGTAGCCTTGCCAGGTTTTAATTTTTAAATCTAAGAGACTATTCCCAATATATAGGATAGGGTCTCTAGGCCTGGCCGGTGATCAGGGCAATTGGGGGTGGGGGGCCGCTGGCACCTGCCTTGGCTGGTGGCCTGGCACTGCCCACTTGCCGGCCCCACCTCCACCTACCAGTCATTCTGCAGGTCATTTTGCCATTTGGTTGATTTGCATATTAGGGTTTTATATAGATAGATGATTACAACAGGGTTAGCTTGCACCTCCATCCCTTCACATAATTACCATCTTTATGTGTGTGGTGATAACATTTAAGACCTACTCTCTTAACAAGTTTCAAGTATTTAACACAGGATTGTGATTTATAATCACCATGCTGTACATTAGATCCCCAGAACTCACTCATCTTAGAGCTAGAAGTTTGTACCCCTTACCAACAGCTCCCCAATTTCCCCACCCCACAGCCCCTAGGGCAACCACCATTCCATTCTCTGTTTCTATGAGTGGGGCTTTTTTAGGTTCCACCTGTGAGGACATACAGTGCTTGTCTTTCTTTGTCTGACTTGTCTCACTTAGCATAATGCCCTCAAGGCATTCTTATCTTTTATCATTGTTGTTGTTACTATTATTATTAGTTGGTAGCAATGACTAGCAGAGTTTTCTTATGATTTGTTTTTTAAGAGCAAAACTGAATCGTCTCTTGAATATTTCACTGTCATCTTGAGCCTTTTTAAGAATCAGATCCTACGGACTCATAGCTCTTCCTTTGAAGACAATCAGCACAATGCATGATGGGAGCATGGTGGTGCTCCATTCAGCTGCTGCTCACACCCTGAAGGAGGCTGGAACTTCTGGTCAAAGGGGTCCCTGCAGATGGTTAGGGTTTTTGGGTTTGTTGTTGGCCTTCTTCTTCTTTACTTAGTTTTAAGTATTTTTTTGTTAGATGTAGATTTTTTTAAATTTTTCTTTATTGATTAAGGTATTACATATGTATCCTTATCCCCCTCTGCCTCCTCCCCCCCCACTCATGCCCTCACCCCCGTTGCCTGTGTCCATTGGTTAGGCTTATATGCATGCATACAAGTCCTTTGGTTGATCTCTCTCCCTTACCCGCACTCTCCCCTACCTTCCCTCTGAGATTTGAGCACCTGATTGATGCTTCTCTGTTTCTAGATATGTTTTTGTTCATCAGTTTATGTTGTTCATTATATTCCATAAATAAGTGAGATCATGTGATATTTCTTTCTCTGACTGGCTTATTTCGCCTAGCGTAATGCTCTCCAGTTCCATCCACGCTGTTGCAAATGGTAAGAATTCCTTCTTTTTTTTAACTGCAGTGTAGTAGTCCATTATATAGATGTACCACAGTTTTTTAATCCACTGATCTGCTGATGGGCACTTAGGCTGTTTCCAAATCTTAGCTGTGGTGAATTGTGCTGCTATGAACATAGGGGTGCATATATCCTTTCTGATTGCTGTTTCTAGTTTCTTGGGATATATTCCTAGAAGTGGGATCACTGGGTCAAATGGGAATTCCATTTTTAGTTTTTAAGAGGTCATATATACTGGCATGTAAAATAATTCCTAAAGCAATGTCTTTAAGAAGAATCACAGTTTAATTTGGTTATAGCTGGGAATTTAAAGTGGAATTATGATTCAATTTAAATTTCCCTCTTGGTTCTCTTATGGCTATACTGCCTGGGAAAGGAAGGGAACTCATTGGCGGAAGAGAACAGAGGTAATGCCTCATGTGGTAGAAAAACCATTTAGACCCCAGAACTACAGGGTGTCCCAAAAATGTATGCACACTTTAATTATAAAGGCAGTAGTTATTAAAATACATTTAATTTCAAAGTGTAATAGAAATCAGTTTATTAAAATGTGAATACATTTTTTGGGACACCCTGTATAAAGGGAAGGCCAACACTGTTAAGTGTTCTAAAACCACTTTTGTGTATTCAGATAGTAAAGAGAATTTTAAAATGAATGCAGTAATATTTGACTAGAATGCAAATGTGTCCGTCTAGGTAAAAGGGAAATGTTACCACACATTTTCTTCTGTGTCCTCGGGGATTTTAAAAGTTTGGTCACATATGTTTTACGGGAAGAAGCAAGGAAAGCACGGTTTGGAAGCTAAGATGCCTAGATGTGCAGGGGAGCCAGTACATAAACTGGAGTGAGCAAGGGTTCGAGAGCAGGCGTCAGCAAACGTATAGGGCGCAAACGTTAATATCTCAGGCTTCTCAGGCCACCGACAGTCTCTGTCGCAACATGAGAGCGGCCACAGAGGATCCGGGAAGGAATGTGCATGGCTGTGCTCCAGAAGAACTGTATTTACAAAAACAGGCGGCAGGCCATGGCTTGCCGACCGCCTCTGGAGGAGCAAAGAATTGGAAAGAAAGGTTAGCGCCTCCAGCACCCGGCTGAGGAGCTTTTATTTTATTTCCTGCAAGACGGAGGCTTTCAAAGCCGTGTCATTGTTAGTGCTCTGGAGGGCCCCGTGTGGAAACGTGCCCCTTTTGTCCTCAGATGGCGTCCCAGCCACCACCAATATTTGCCAAGGAAGTGAAGCTGTCTCCTCGGGCAGGTGCTGCAAGTCGTGCAGTGTAGCTCTGCTCCCCGCCCCCGCCCGCCAGTCCTCGAGAATTTGCATGTGGGCACCTCATGTCAGTTGGGCTGAGAGGAAATAGCCGTTTATTCTTGGTCTTCTGACACGAATAAGGATGGGCCTCATTGCAAGGGACAGGCGACTGAGTGTGGTGAGGGAGGGGTGTGTCTACGCCCACGTTATTGTTTAACTGAGCCCGAAGACCCAGGTCCCGCAGATTTGATCAGATACCTGGGAAATGCTGGCAGACTAGTTCGTCAGGGGCTAATTCTACCCGACATTCAATTCAGTTTTGAACCCTGTTAAGAATCCGGTCAATCTGGTTGCCAGGGTTAGCCATAAAAATCCAGCGTTCCCGCGCCTCTGAAAGGCGGCGGGGGCGGGGGCGGCGGCGGTGGCGGCGGCGGCTGGAA